GAGGCGGTGGCCGTGGTGGCGGCCCGCGCAGCTTGGCGTCTACCAGCGGCTCCAGTGCTGTGACCTGCCAGTACCAGCTTCAGACCGGGCCTCTCCGCGGCACTCTGTGCCGCCGCCCGCACCCGACCGCCCGCTGTTTCCGCCGCCTCGACGATCTTTTTCATCGTCGCTTTGGCCCGGCCCCGGACCTCCCTGACTGGCACAGCCTGCTCCGCCAGGGCGTGCCGATCTTTGAGTTAGACATGGATCAGATAGGTGCTGCTTTGCATGCTTTGTATGCTGACGCTTCTAGTGTTGATGGATCTTACTACCATGTGTACTCTAGTTTAGGTGTTTCACCCTTGTGTAGCTTAGCTTCCCCTGCTGCGACAGGCGTAGGACTGCCTAGGTTGCCTAGTCTAGTCGCTGCACCGGCTCCGTCCGCGGCCTCCGCCACTGCGTCGCTGTCCTTCACTCTCGACTCTGGTGCTTCTGCCTGCTTCTTCCGCGACCGTTCCACGCTCACGCCGCTTGCTGCACCTGCTGTTGTCTCTCTCGCTGACCCCTCTGCGGGTCCGGTCGTCGCGCGCAGTTCTACGTCCCTTCCCTGTCCGGCAGTTCCCTCGGGCTCCCTTACTGGCCTCCACGTTCCCTCGTTCTCCAGGAACCTGGTTGGTGTCGGCTGTCTCCAGGACCTCGGCGTCACCACCACGTTCCCCGGGCACGAGCGGTTCGCTGTCTGTTCTGAGGCTGTCTCAGGTTCCCCCCTTGCGACGTTCCCCCGGGACCCGGTGTCCGGTCTGTTTACCCTACACACCGCTTCCCCCCCGGTTGGTGCGTCCTCCCAGGTCGCTGCAGCTTGCTCGTGTCGGTCCCTCACTCACCCCTCCCTTCTCTGGCACCACCGCTTAGGTCACCCTGCTCTCCCGCGTCTGCGTCACATGTCCCAGCACGGTCTTGTCTTAGGTCTCCCCGCGTCGCTCCCTGCCCTTCCTCCCTCGACTGCGCCACCGTGCACGCCTTGCGTCGAGGGTCGGCTCCGCCGTGCTCCTCACTCCTCCTCGCTGCGTCCTGCTACTGCCCCCCTTCAGACCCTGCACTTGGACGTTTGGGGCCCTGCCCCCGTCCCCGGACCGCGCGGTGAGCGCTACTTCCTTGTGCTCGTTGACGACTACACGCGCTACACCACGGTGTTTCCCCTGGAGCGGAAGGCCGACGTGCCCGACGTTCTTCTCCCGTGGGTTGTAGCTGCGCGTCTCCACCGCGGTCTCCCCGTGTTGTGTCTCCACTCCGACCGTGGCGGCGAGTTCGCCTCTGGTCGGCTTGGACAGTTCTGTCGTGCGGAGGGCATCACCCAGTCGTACACGTTGCCGGACTCGCCACAGCAGAATGGGGTTGCTGAGCGCCGCATCGGCTTGGTCATGGAGGTCGCCCGTACCTCCATGATCCATGCCGATGCCCCCCATTTTCTGTGGCCGTTCGCTGTTCGCTACGCGACTCACCAGCTTAACCTGTGGCCACGCTCCCAGCGGCCGCAGGTTTCGCCGACCCTCCTTTGGACCGGGTCCCCCGGTGACGCGTCTGCGTTCCACGTCTGGGGCTGCCTTGCTCACGTTCGTGCCTCTGGCACGGACAAGCTCACTGCCCGCACTGTCCCCTGTGTCTTCCTCGGTTTCCCCCTGGACTCGTCTGACTGGCTTTTCTACCACCCGCCGTCTCACCGCTTCCTCCACTCTCGTGACGTCACCTTTGACGAGTCCGTCTCCTTCTACCGCCGCTTCCCTCACCGAGGTCTCCCAGTTGCCCCCCCCCTTTTCCTTGCTCCCTCTCCCCCGGTAGCCCCTGCCCCTCTCCCGCCTCGTCCTGCCCCGTCTAGTGTCTCCCACGTCACTCCCCTCCCGTCGGTTGTCCCCGTTGAGGAGTCTGCTGACTCTGGTGGTACCCCCGGTCCGTCCTTGCCACGTCCCCCTTCCCCAGTGCCTCCGCCCCCACTGTCGCAGTCGCCGACCCCGCTGCCGCCGCCGTCGCCGTCGCCGCCGCAGCCGTCGCCGCTGTCGCCGCCACTGCCGCCGCTGCTCTTGGCCCCTGGGGGTGCTGGTGTGGAGGAGGGTGTTCGTCCTGCGGCTTCTGGGGGTGCCGCTGGTGTTGGAGGGGGTTCTCACTCTTGGGGTGTTGGTTCTGGGGGTGCTGCTGTTGAGTGTTCTGCCGACGGTCGTTCTGCCTCTGCTGGTCCGAGAGTTCCGGCCCAGCCGTCGTCGCCGCCACAGCAGCCGTCGCCGCCGGTTTCCGCTCTCCGCCTGCTCGGCCTTCCCTCCCCGGACCGCGCGCCAGTGTCTCCCCCACCGCCTCCTGACCTCCCTGTCTACGGTCCTGTGTTCCCGCCGCCAGACTCGTCTCCGGCCCGTCTTCCTCCTCGTTCCCCTCCTGTGTCTCCTCCGCTGTCCCCTGACCCTACCCCTCCGTCTCACGTTTGGGCTCGCCGTCCCTCCCGTGCCCGTCCCGTCTCTCCTGTCCTGCCCACCCACCCTATGTTGCTCCGTTCCCACTCGTCTCGTCCTCCCCTCCTCCCGTCCCCTCCTCCCTCGTCCCTTGCTGTTGCACCTCCTCCGTTCTCTGACTACCTCCGTGCTGCTCGTCCCCTTGTCCCTCGGGTCCTTGCCTCTCTTGTTACCGACCCTGCTGTTCCTGTCTCGCGCCTTGACGCGCTTGTCGCTGCTGTCGCTGACTTCGCTTCTACCCGCCGCCTTGACTACGCTACCGCTCTGGTCTCTGACCCTGCCCGTCCTCTGTCCGTCGGGGGTGCTCCTGCCCTTGGCAGTGACGTCCTAGAGGACAGGCAGTACGAGCTGGCTTTCCTTTCCGAGGCTGCTCCCCATCTCTGCTCCATGCTGTTAGTCCCTGAGGGTGACCCAGACGCCTTCGACATCCCGACCCCTCGCACCTACGCTGAGGCCACCTCGGGACCTTGGGCCTCTCAGTGGATAGCTGCCATGGAGCAGGAGATGGCATCTTGGAGATCCACCGGCACTTACGTCGACGCAGTTCCCCCGCCTGGGGTGAACGTAGTCGATGGTCGGTGGCTCTTCAAGGTGAAGCGCCCCCCTGGAGAGCCGCCTGTCTTCAAGGCGCGCTACGTGGCCAGAGGTTTCAGTCAGCGCGAGGGGGTTGACTTCTTCCAGACCTTCGCCCCGACCCCGAAGATGACCACTCTTCGGGCGCTGCTACACGTAGCAGCACAGCGTGACTACGAGCTTCACTCTCTCGACTTCTCTACTGCCTTTCTTCAGGGCAGCCTACACGAGCAGGTCTACCTGCGCCGACCACAGGGCTTCACTGGTACCTTCCCTCCTGGGACCCAGTGGCTTCTCAGGCGCCCGGTCTACGGCCTGCGTCAGGCTCCCCGCGAGTGGCACGACACGCTACGTGCCACGTTAGCAGACCTGCAGTTCTTTCCGTCCTCTGCTGACCCTTCACTGTTTGTGCGTTCCGGCCAGACTCCGTTCTACATCCTTGTCTACGTAGACGACCTGGTCTTCGCTACTCCTGACAGGGACGCACTGGCCTCTGTGAAGGCTGAGCTGCTGAAGAGACACACCTGCACTGACCTTGGAGAGCTGCGTCGCTATCTTGGCCTGCAGATCTCTAGGGACAGAGCAGCACGCACCATCACTCTGACCCAGTCACACTTGGTGCGTCAGGTCCTTCAGAGGTTCGGTCTTCAGTTCTCCTCCGCACAGCCCACACCTCTACCCGTAGACCATGGGCTCTCTGCTCCCGTTCCTGAGGAGCCAGTAGAGCCCAGTGGCCCCTACGCAGAGCTGGTGGGTTGCCTCATGTACCTGATGACTTGCACTCGCCCAGATCTCGCATACCCTCTCAGCATCCTGGCTCGCTTTGTGGCTACAGGCAGACACCGACCTCAGCACTGGTCTGCCGCTAAGAGGGTTTTGCGTTATCTTGCTAGTACATCAGGCATGGGGTTAGTGCTAGGAGGACGCAGGCCAGTGGTCCTTACTGGGCACACAGACGCTTCTTGGGCAGACGACGCTGAGACGCTCAGGTCGTCGCAGGGCTACTGTTTCAGCCTTGGTTCGGGTGCTATCTCTTGGAGATCCACTCGCTCGTCGTCTGTGGCTCAGTCTAGCTGTGAGGCTGAGATCTACGCTGGTGCCATGGCGGCACAGGAGCTCCGCTGGCTGACCTTCTTGCTCACTGACTTAGGTGAGCGGCCTAGCTCTGCCCCGGTCCTGTACGCTGACAACAGGGCCATGATACTCCTGTGTCAGGAGCCTCGGCTTGAGGGCAGAGCGAAGCATATCCAGCTGCGGTACTTCCTCCTGCGCGAGCTACAGCAGCGCCGCCAGGCCCGCGTAGTTCACTTGGCCTCAGGTGCCAACACAGCTGATATCTTTACTAAGGCGCTTGCGCCTAAAGATCATCAGCGGCACTGTGTACAGCTTGGTCTTGTTCCTATAGCTGCTCCCCTGTTAGGATCCTGATTGTGTACTCTCTATTATATATGCTTGTCAGACTGGCCTTGTGGCCTTACCTCCAGTGGCTGGACTAGTAGTGCCACCCTGGCTTGCTTCAGTTTTGGTTGTATTCTTGCTGACTGGTCTCCAGACCCCTGCCTCAGTGGTTGGACTAGTAGTGCCGCCCTGAGCTGTTTGCTTCTTGTTTAGTTTCACCCCTTGTCTAGCCTAGGGGGTGTGTCAACTTATACATATTATCTATGTAGAAGTTATAGGCTAGACTGAGGTATGCTTCTAGTGAGTACAACCAACTAGTATTTGTTCTAGGTTTCCACCTCTAGTAATCATTCGTTTCTACGTTAACACCATGATCCTCCTGTGTCAGGAGCCACGACTTGAGGGCAGAGCGAAGCACATCCAGCTGCGGTACTTCCTCCACCGCAAGCTACAGCAGCGTCGCCAAGCCAGCGTCGCCACCCTGAGCTGCTTTTCTCACACCAGGCACTGCGCCTAACCAGTCTAGGGGGTGTGTCATGTCAAACATATCTTTGTATGTTGCTATAGCCTATACAGGGTTGTGCCTTAAGGAGTACAACGCACTAGGTTATATTCCCTTGTATGTCATTATTCTACTCATTTGTTCACTTCTCTACTTGGTATGCACCCAATATACACTAAGCTTGTGACACTGAGCTCCAGCACATACAGAAGCAGCTACCCTACTTGACCCACCACACGTGAGTACAACCAGAGGACCTGTGCTACCACGAGTACCAAGCCAACCCCCTTTCTCAAGCCTCTTCAGCCCCAGCAGGCGCCACAGTAGCATAAGAGGAGCCCTTGCTGGTCTCCGTCCCCCCATTGACAGCGAGCTCCTCGATCACCACCTTGGACCGCACAGCGCCGTCGGCGCGCGGGGAGTCAGCGCGGTTGGCCATGCGGATGGAGCGCAGCTCCCACGTGCCCTCGCCGTCTATCAGCCGCAGCTCCTGCGCGTGAAACCGCACCAGCGCCGGCCGCTGCTCGTGCACCACAGCAGTGGGGGTTGACAGAAATGAGGGAAGGGGCGAAGGGAGGGACACCAGGGAGGGACGGGTCAGGGGAAAAGACGAGGAGAGGTTAGGGGTGAGGCAGGAGGCAGGAGGCAGGGCTAGTCGGGTCACAGAGTTTAACCGTGCCACGCAGGGAGATGAGCGTTCAAGAGAGTGTGTTGGTACAAGCATATGAGCAAAGGAACACGGGCAGGTGGTGGGTACTCTTGGATGAAGCAAGGAAGCAGGTGAGCGTGGTATGCAGGCATGGCATGGCATGGCATGGCATGGCAGGCACCTGCGAGATGGTGATGACGGTGATGCCCAGCGCCTTGGCCCGCGCGTACAGCGCCTCCTCCACATCCACACTTGTCGCACTGCCAGGCGCGGCACAGGGGGCAAGGGGGGAGTGCAGGAGGGGAAGCGACGCAAGTGAGACAAGGCAGCAAGGACCAGATGGAGGAGTGGGATAGACAGTGGCATGAGAGAACAATGCCTGGTCATGTGGCATGGAGAGCAAGGGAGCGGTGGAACAGCATGCTTGGGTGGATAGAGAGACACCACCAACCCATCCCTCCTTTCCTCCGCACGGAAAGGAGTGTGTTTTCCTATTGCAGCAGGATGCATGGGGTGCGTTGCCCCCCACTCACTTGGTGCACTCGTCCAAGATGCCGAACTTGGGCCGGTGGAAGAACAGCCGCGCCTGGCAGCCAAGGGGGGGGAGAGGTGGGGGGAAGGGGGATGGAAGAGGTGAGTAGAGCAGGACGACGAGGGTGGACAATACAGGAAGGAAGGGGGAGGAGCTAACATAGGAGACGAGGGGTTAAGGAAGAACAGGCTAGCCACACCCAGTTCTTCCTTTACAAGCCTCTCCCACACACCCACGCCCCATCACCTCCCAGTGTCCGCACCACCTACTGCCTTCCCCACAGCTCCTCCTATCCGCCACCACTACCCAGCCCCCGCCCCCCCTTCCCCCCTGTCACCATTCCTGCCACCTCCACCGCTCTCTCCCCCCTGCAAGGCACCCACCATGCCGAGGCGCTGCTGCTCGCCGAGGGAGAGGGTGTCCTCCCAGGTGGCGGTGGCGTCCCAACCGCCCCCGCGGCCCACGAGGTAGAGCAGGCGCACGTCCTCCATGATGCACGCCAGCTGCTCGTCCAGCGCCACGAACGCCGACGCCTCCACCTCCGCCGTCCACCCCGCTGCCGGGGTGTCGCCTGGGTAAGCAGGGCAGGGTGAGAGCAGCGCAAGGGGAAGGGTGGAGGAAGGGGGCGGGAGTGGTCACACGAGCGAGAGTGAGGAGCTTCTCCTATGCTCGCTTGACTGTAAATCACTTGAACTCTTCTGAAGTTACACGCATCGCAAAGTTCTTATTGCGTCCCACTTCCAAGCTGCTCAGCTGTGAGGAATACTATCAGCATGGCGCGCACCTCTAGTTGTATCCGTTTCCCCGTGGCCCTAAACACCAGTCATCCCCCATTCCCCCTGCATCTCTCTCAGGCAACCTTGAGAGGGTCCGCATCCATGGCACACACCTTTCCCAGCGGCAGCGAGGCCAGCGGGCGCCCTGAAGCCGACGACCTTCTGGGCAGCGTCCACGCGGGACAGCGGGTAGATGATCTGGTCGCGCAGGGACCCCAGTGCGGCGTACGGGCGCTGCGGCACGTAGAACATGCCGCCCGTGGCAATGCCGGTGGCGCCCTCCGCCAGCAGCATGCTGCCCGCCGTCATGGGCGGCAGCCCCGGCTTCAGTATGGTGCCCTCCACCAGTGGCCACAGCCCGCCCAGCACGCGGAACAGACTGCTCTTGCCACTGCCGTTGGGGCCTGCAAGGGTGGGGGGGGGAAGGAATGGATGAAGAAGAAGCACGGGGAGGGAACAAGAGAATGCAGGCCGAAAGAGAGGTTAGTTGGCTCACACCGGAGCGGGTGAGACGAGAGGCGTAACCATGTGATGGCATGTGCGCACAACCACTTCCATCTTCCTTCAGTAAACCCTCTCCTCATCTCAACTCATCTCGCCTCTCCTCTCCCCTTCTCTCTCCCTCCCATCTCAACCATTCGCTGTCCCGGGCACCCTCGCCCACCTGTGACGAGCAGTGAGTGGCCAGGGAGCACGGCGACGGAGAGCTTGTGGGCGAGCAGCTTCTGCGCGGGCGTGATCACGTCCACGCCCACAAACGCCACCTCGTGCGCCGCGGGGGCGTCAGGGCCCTGCGACGCCAGGGCCATCAGCCCTGTGAAGGAACCCGGGCGCTGCAGCATGTGGGGCGCCAGGTCTGGTGCAGTGTGGGGAGACAGGGGGGTTGGGGGGAAAGAAGACGACACAAGACGGGGAAAGGATGAGTGAGCAGGACGGAGTTGGCATGAGGACATGAGGCGAGGAGAGGGAGTGCAAGGCGACAGGACGAAAAGAGGGATGATTCGCAGGTGTATCGGCGAGCGATAGCACATGGCAAGTCAGCCCAACAAACTGAACGCACGAATGAAACTTCAAAAACTCACAACCGCATTGCCCGCTGTCTCACTCATCCTAATCACGGCAACCCCTCACCGTGCTGTGCGGCGAGCAGCGCCTCGTCGAGCCCCATGACGCGGCCGATGGTGCCAGCCAGCTCCTGCACCTTGCGGTAGCACTCCAGGATGTCACCGAACGCCAGGAATGAGTGCGACACCACCGACGCCAGGAACCGCAAGTCGTGCGCCAACACCCCTGGAAGAGCAGGAGAAAGGGGGGGAAGAGGGGGGGTAAGGGGACACGCGAGGACCAGGGCGAAAACAAGAGGCGAGAGGAACAAGGGGCAGCCCCCCCCTCCTCCTCCCCCCCCTCTGGGGCCATCTCACGCTGACGCCAGAACCACCTAGAGGCCTAGCACGCCCTGATGCCACGGATGGTGCGGACCTTGGCTGTGGGAGGTGTCAGCGAGCTGGTAGTCCATGGCGTAGAGCATGGAGAGCCCCCACGTGACGTTGTGCGGCAGCTGCTTGGTGATGAACTCGTCCGCAATGCCAAAGAACCACCGCCGCGACAACACGCCCCGCCGGTGCTCCATCACCCGCGCAAAGCGGTCTGCCACCACCTGGCGGGCGCAGGGGACGGTAGGGGCGGGTGGGCGTGAGGTTAGGAGTGTTGAAGGGTTCAACGGAGGCACAAAGTGGTACGTGTTGCAGCACAAACGGAGAAGAAGTCAACAAGGAGACACAGCAGAAACGGAACATTGCAAAAGAATGGCATGGCATTGCAAGAGAATGGCATGGCATGGCATGGCATGGCATGGCATGGAGGAGCATGGCAGGATGAGGAGTGGCACTAATGCACAATGATATAGCATGGCACAGCATCGTACCGCATGCTCACGATCGCCGCCCCCGAAGAAGGCCACCGACTCAGCATGGGTGCGCAAACGAGAATGCATGAAGCTGACGCGCCGTGGGGACGGGGAGAGAGGGAGAATGGAGGCGGGGCGAGGGGAGAACAGAGTCGGAAGGCAGGTGGGAAGAGAAGGGGAGAGCATGGGGAAAAGAAGAAGACAAGGGAATGGCTAAGGTGAGAAATTAATTAAAGAAAAAAAACAAATCCGCATTAGGAAAGAATAAAAAGCGGACGACGGAAGGAAGGAAGGGCATAAGAAAGAAAGCAGTGACTAAAAAGAGGAGGAATGGAAGGCACAGCAGGGCCACCCACCGGAAGGCCCCTTCGAGGCGGTGCTGCTCGGCGGTGAGCGATGAGAAGTCCGGGGTGATGGCGCGCAGGAAGCCGAGCCCCAGCAGCATGTACGCGTACAGGATGCCCACGCCACGCTGCCCCGTGAGGCAGCGCATGCGCCACGTGAACCAGAGGATGTCCACGATGGGCTTCACTAGGCTCGACACCAGCCCCGACACGTCCGAACACAGCCGGCTCACGTCGTCGCACAGCCGCTGGTCCGCGTCCGTTAGACCCTCTGTTCCCAACGCCACCACCTGAGGGAGAGGGGGATGGGGAAGGGGGGAATGCGGGGATGGGAAGTGGAAGGAGGGAGGGCGGGGGAAGAGAAGGGAGGGCAGCGAGAGTGAAGCACAAGAGATTCTGGGATATTGTAGACCCCATGCTAAGAAAGTTAAGAACGAGATGGTATGTCTGCTGATGGACCACGTGGCATGTGCATGGTACAGCGTGATACGCAGGATGGCAGGGCAGGGCAGGGCAGGGCGTGGCAGGGCTTGCCTTGTAGAAGGCGTTATGTCTGAAATAGAGGCGGGTGAGGTGTGCTGTGAGGTGGCGCCTCCACCCCAGCGCCAGCGATGACTGCAGATGCCTGCCATTGCCATGCACGAGGGGCGCACGAGGGCGAGAGAGAGGGTAGGTTTGGGAGGGAAGGGGGGGGAAGAATGAAGGACGAGAGGAAAAGAAAGGAGGAATGCATCGAGGCACAAGAAAGTGGATGGCACCAGCAGAGGAGGGCAGCGGCAGCAGAGGAGGAGATGGCAGCAGGGGGGTAAGGAGTGGGGGAGGGCAGCACGCACCGTAGCGAGGGGGCGATGACAGCAGAGGCGAAGCTCTGTAGGATGGAGACGGCGATGAGGCGCATGAACGCCACCTTGTCCTGCTGCAGCACGTTGCGCACACTCGTGCCTGCCATGGGGGGGGAGAGAGAGGGGGGCACATTACTAGGGCCAATAGTAGAAACACGTTCTCAAAACCTGCGGTGCTTTTGCGCGCCCCAGTACATGAGCAACACAGTCACAGCCCATACCGCTGAGTGTGGCAAATCAAATTGCAACCCCGGCATTGTGCAGCGCGTGGAAGCAGGAGGCATGGGAGGCGTACCGTTGAGCGACGCGATCCTGTCGGAGAGGCCTGTGCGCGCCACCACGAGGAACGCCAGCATGCCCAGCTGCGCTGTCTGCACACACCCCAGCTTGGGGAACTGGCGGGGGGGAGGGTGGAACACAAATGATAGGAACAGAACAGATGGGGTGGAGTGAGTGTGTGCACTCGCCATGCTTACATGAGGTAGCAAACTGTGGAAGAGCGGGGGCATATAGCATGGGGAGGGGGTGCATGCATGCGTGTGTGAGGGTGCGTGCGTGCATGTGTGTGAGCGTACGAGGATGCGGATCATGGCGTTGAGGCGTGCGGAGAAGCCTCGTTTCTTGGGCCTGATGTGCGGCACGATGGGCAGCGGGCCCTCTATGGGCGGCGACACCGCCAGCACCTCGCCCTCCACCGTCTCCTCCTCCGCTTGCTGTGCCGCCTTGCCCCCCTGCCCAGTGCAGCACGCAGCAGCAAGGGGGGGGGGGGGGGCATGGAGAGGGAACGAGAGAGAGAGCGCGCGCAATGAGAGGTGGCAGAGGCGGGGCTGGCGAGAAACGGCAAATGCTCCTAGGTTGGAGAATCGAACGGGTGAATGGGCCTTTCTCTAGGCAGCCCATGCAGCAGCAGCAGCAGCAGCAGCAGCAGCAGCAGCAGCAGCAAGAGTGTGTGCAGCGCTCACCATGTGCTCATCCGTGGCGTGCAGGAAGCGCGTGACGTTGACTTGCGCGTCTGCCTTCCGCTCCGTCAGCTCCCCCCCTCGCACGCTTGCGCCTCCCGCCACCACCACTGCATGCTCCTCGGGGGAGCCCTCGCCACCCGACAGCTGCTGAGGGATGGATGAGGGCGACCCAGGTGACGACCGGCTCCTGGGCGAAGGGGTGGGAGTGGGGAAGTGTGTGGGGATGGTAAGGGCAGACGGATGGGGAACAAGAAGGGCAAGACCGGCTAATGGAAGAGGAGAGATTAGCTGATGGTATAGCTGCAAGCTAGGTGAGTGGAAGCTGTGAATCCCACGAGTATGTGAGTCGGAGACAGCACGTAATCACGCAATCACGCACTCCCAAGAGTCTGTGCTCCTTTCCCCCTCAGCTCCCACCACCCACATGCTCCTCTCACCTATATTCCCATCGCTCACCTGTTTTTCCACTCCCCAAAACCTGCCATCCCTCCCCACCTCTGCCTCTCACCCTTCCCCTTACCCCCACCCGTTTCTCCCTCTACCCTCACTCGCTCTCCCCCCACCCTTCTCTTCAATCTCACGTCTTGTAGTGCAGGGTCCAGCCGCCCTCGCCGTCGAGTGCGAGCACGGTCTCATGGAAGGCCACGAGCGCGGGCCGGTGCGAGATCGTCACACACGTCGTGCCCATGCGCTCCACCAGCCGACAGAACCTGGAGGGGGAGGGGGGAGGGATGAGAAACGAGGGACGGGCTTTCAGTCGATTCAAAAGTAAGCGAGATGGCCACAGGACGGAGAGGGGGGGGCGTAGGTGAAGGGGGGGAATCATGTTGCAGGGGAGAGCACACGTCCAAGAAAGAAATAGAAACGGGTCATACTTTGCATGCTGAAGGGTGCATACGTGTGTGTGTGTGCGGAGAGGGGTGTGGGCGGGGGGGAGGACGAATGGGTGGTTGGAGATGAGTGAGTTGTCTGTCGCGCACCTCTCCTCCATGTCGGTGGTGACGGCGCTGGTGCACTCGTCCAGGATGGCGAAGGCGGGCGCGTGGTAGAAGAGGCGCGCCATGCCAAAGCGCTGCTGCTGCCCCAACGACAGCTCCTCGCCCCAGTTCACCTCGCGCTCCATGCCGTACCGCTCCACCAGGTCCTCCAAGTCTACCTGCGGAATCAGCGGCACAGTCAGAGGACAACAGAGGAGGTGGTGAGAAGCACACCCGACCCACCCAAGCTCGGGCACATGCACACGCACACCCAGACTTTTGCCCATGCACACAGCCACGCCTGCCCACAATCTCATCCACAGCCCCACCCCGCATTGTGCACCCACCACTCGCAGCATGTCGCGCAGGCGCTCCTCCTCCAGCGGCTCTGGCAGGTCGTTGGCCGTGAGGGGGTACACGAGCTGGTCCTGCAGCGTGCCGATCGCCATGTACGGCCGCTGCGGCACGTAGAAGATGTCGTGACTCAGGTCCGCCGCCCGCCCCGGCTTGCTGATGCGCCCCTCCACCAGCGGCCACAGCCCGCCCAGCACGCGGAACAAACTGCTCTTGCCACTGCCGTTGGGGCCTGGATGGGTGAAAAAGGGGGGGGGTAAAGGAGGGGGGGGAGAGGAGGAGGGGGGAGGGGGACAGGAGGGAGAAGGATGAAGAAGAGAGGGAGAAGGGGAGAGATGGAAGTATGCTGATTATGGGAGTGCTGAGTGCTTGGGGAAGGTTGGCACTAGGAAGGGAACAGATGGGAAGTGCAGATGGTGAGGAAAGAGCAGAGGGAAACGGGGGAAGGCATGGGCGGGAGGGAGGGAGAGGGGAAAGGTGGGTGTTTGACCTGTGATGAGGAGGTTCTCCCCCGGGTTGACTCGTAGTGTGAGCCCATCGACGAGCTTGGCGCCCGACGGTGTCACCACCGTCACACTGTCGAACTGAATGTACTTGGCCTCCGAAAACTTCCCACCGCCATCCCCCTCGCCCGCGCCCTGCGCGTCCTGCTGCGCGGCTGCTATGAGGCGAGTGTCCTCCCCAGCGACGCTGGGCTGCGTGTGCATGTGCACGTCCTGCTGGCTCAGGTCCCGCGCCACCTGCATGAGCTCGCAGATGCGGTCCGCATACCCACTGCCGCATGCCGTCGCACGAGGAGCAAGGGGCCGTGCCAGAAGTGGGGTGCGGGTTGGAGAGAAGGGCGGCGTGGAGAGAAGGATGGGGCCGGGGCGGGGAGATGGAGAAGGAGAACAGAGGGGGTATGTGAGAATACATGGTGCCTGGGATGGTGGTGAGACCTACAGACAGAGTAAGTAGGGGCAAGAGGGAAAGGGTAAGAGCGGGGATGCAGGACCTGGTAAGAACGCCAAATGCGAGCATTCAAGCCACAACCTCACCAACCACGCCCTCTCCCCCTTCCCAACCAGTCAAGCCACCCTGCAGGCCCTAAAGCCACTCGCCTGAGGCGGATGATGCGCCTGGAGCTGCCGGCAATGGTGCCCATGGCCTGGAACAGCGCGATCACCACGGACGTGTGGTACCGCATACGCGACAGCATCTCCGCACGCGCATCCCGCGACCCCTCCGTCTGCAGGCTCGCACCGAAGAACGGCCCGATGATGAGCACGACGGCCCACGTGGCGCCGCAGTACTTGAGCAGGAAGTCCTGCACGATGCCAAACCACCACTGCGTGCGCAGCACGCCCGCGCTGTGCTTCACGAGCGCGGAGAAGGCCTGCGAGATGAGCGCGCCCTCCCTGCCGTGCCCGCCGTAGAACGCGATGCTCTCGCTGTGCGTGCGCACGCGCGCGTGCAGCTGCCGGTACTCCCCCTCCTGCTGCTGCTCCTTGCCCAACAGCTTGCCGAAGGGCGGGGCTAGGGCGCTCGTCAGCGCCCCCGCACACAGCACATAGGCCTAGGGGGAGGGGAATGGGGCGGGTTGATGAGGGGGGACACATGCTTGAGGCAGCGGAACTACAGCACAGCACAGCACTGAGCGCACCCGCACACACACAAATGATGTGTGACACACAAAGAAACACCAAACTACAGACCCCATGGCCGATTTATCTGGTGGAGCACTGCTGGTGCCTGGAAACCCCCCCACCACACTCGGTACCACGACACATTCCCCTTCTCCTCGCAATTCATCAACCCCTTTCCCCTTGCCTGCCCCTGCGGCGCACCAGGATGCCCCCGGCGTATTTGGGGTGCGTGTAGGTGGTGAGGGAGTAGGTGTAGAAGGTGGCGTCGGTGGCGGCGACGAGCAGGTCGTGCAGCAGGTCCGCCAGCTCGTTGCAGATGTGCGGCACGTCGCTCACGATGCGCTGCTCCGCACTCTCCACGCGCTTATCCACGTGCGACATGCGGTAGTACACCATGCCCTGACGCGGGGGGGGAGGGGGGAAGGGGGAGGGGTGTGTAGGGCGGAGGGAGGACATTTTGGGAAGGGCGAATGGGGGGACGGGAGGGGTTATGGGGAGAGTGGGGAGGAAGCACTATATGATGCGCGACATGCGTGCAGCTACCTGTACAGCATGCCTTGGGGGGTGTCCCGTCCATCCATCTCGCCACCCTCCTTCACGCGCACACACGCTTATGCCAATGCAGACTAACGCCCGCACACTCAAACACCCCTCCATGCAGAAACACACCCACACGCCCACACACACACAACCACACGCCGAGAGGCGCACGCACCTTGAAGTAGAGCTTGTGAATGGCGGCAGTGAGCAGCGCGCGCCACTGCAGCGAGAGGCTGCCGGTGAGGAACTTGGAGGAGGAGAAGATGAGCGAGTGTGCCAGGCACAGCAGCAGGTTCTCCGTGATCAGCCGCGTGAACGCCGGCACGTTGCGCAGGAACGTCGACCGGAACAGCAGCCCCTGCACCCGCGCCAGACGGTTGCTCAACACTGTGCGCACCACCTGGGAGATGATTTACAGGCGTCGGCAAGGGGAGGGGCGAAACGGCGAGCACAGCGAAGGGGGTTGTGGGAGAGGAGTCAAGGACGACGATCAAAAGATGCACTGCGGATCGCTGCAGTCGTAAGTATAGAAATAGCACTATCTCAGCAGTTCGCTTACAGCTATGGCGGCTAAGGCAGCAAGGCGCTGCCATCCCTTCTCTCCCATCCTCGCAGCCAGGAAGCTGCATATCGTGCCAACCGAAGCCATCCCTCCCCCCTTCTTCCGCCTACGCCCCTTCTCCGCTCCGCCACTCTCCCCGCCCTTGCCCTTCCGAACAGCCTTCTTCCGCCTGCTATCCTCATCCCCCGCCTTTCCGCCATCCGCCCCGTCAATCAGCGCCGCCGCTGCTTCCCCCTCCGCTTGTCCCCCTGACGCGCCACTATGCGCCAGCGCCGCTCTTGCTTCCCTGCGCCGAACGGCTGCTGCAACGGCGGCGGTTCTGTAATACGCGACTGCTGCTGCGCCACCCCCGCCCACCAGCAACGCTGCGCCTAAAGCGAGCATCCGCCGGCGGGCTGGGGGCAGCTGGAGAAGCCATGGCTGCATTTCAGAGAAAGGAGGTCGCTGGGGTTTCTGCTTGCCAGGACGGGGAGCGAAGCGGACGAAGGAGGAGCAGAACGGGGAGGACGCATTGACGAAGGGGTGAAAAGGAGAGGGAAAGGAGAGAATGGAGAAATGAGACTGTGCGATGAAAAGACAGGTACCAAGATGGCCAAGCATGCCCCACAAGGAGATCGGAAGACACGAGTCCCTGCAGATTCGTCTACGATCGCAGCCATTCGCGGGCTGCCTTACACTCGCCACGTCATCCCCTAACCTCCTGTCAACGCCAAGTCCCTGTATCATACGTCCATTTTAGCAGTCATCCTTTTCTTGATTCACTCACCGCCCAACCGAGCTCCCTCTTCACGAACAGATCACCACCCATGCGTGAATCTTACGGCAGCGTGACCTAAACGACAAGTTGTTAAAGTGATTCGACGACGCGAGACGCGCGCCCGGATAATCATAACCAAAACATAGCTCAGGACGTCTTGAGGACTCAGAGACGGCATATCCGCACCTTATAAGAGGCAGGTCAAGTGGATCTGCCAACACGCAGGCCCAACCGCGAAACCCTAATCCCGATGCAGATTCCCAACGGAGAAGTCGAGTCTCAGACCCCCCTACGCTCTCAAACGAAGATCAATCAAATCTACTCGGGAGCCATTCACGCTGGCGGCCACTCGCCAGCTTCCGCATGGCTTCAAGCCTAACCAGAAGCTAAGGAAGAGCTACTACTTGCATGATCAGCAGCCGTTAGCGGGAACGAGAAGACAGAGACGCACGAAGGTAGCTGTCTGAAGCACTGGACTAGGAGCCCAGATAGACAGCAAAACCCTCACCTACAGAAACAGAATACAGTGCACGAATAAGGATGGTCATTCTAACCAAATAATACATATCATACTTGAATGGAGCAAGCTCCAAGATTTTTGGAATTTGCTGTTAAATTATATATGTCAGTATATAATTGTAGGCTTGGTAGTGGTTACTGAACATTACTGTAGAGGGTACAACACCCCTCCTTGTATCCCTCTCTCTTCTTTTCTAGTTCTCTTTTCTCTCACCAACTTTCCTACCCTAAAACCTCACGCCATTTCCATGGCTCCTCCTCCTACCTAGTTCCTAGTTTAGACATGGTAACAGAGGCGGTTCTCTTCCCGGGCCTGCTCCCCTTGCTTCCGCCGCGCACTCCCTCCCTGTCATGCCGCGCTGGCCCCGTCGCGCCGCGCTGGCCCCGTCGCGTCGCACGGGCCACACTTCCGCCGCGTATCCGACCTTACTTCGCCGCCGTCGCGGCCTTCCGTTTGCCTGCCGCCGTGGCACATTTTCCGAGATGCCGCGGCGGCCTCTGTGTGCTGTCGTCTCAGCGTCGACGAGCAGCCGCGGCCCCGACGCCACGCTGTGGTGGCGTCGTAATAGTGCCGTGGCGGTGCCGTCGGCCTATTGCAGTCGCGCACCACCTGGGTCGCTGCTGGACTTGCAGCCCACCCGCATGCCAGTAAGCGCCGCGCCAGCAATGGCGCCGCGCTGAAGATCCGAAGCCCCGCCCCTTCCCCCTTCCCTCTGTCTCCTCCTCTTCGCCATAGCCGTCGCCTGACTCTCGCCGGTCGTCCCCCTGTCGCGGAGTTTGGACACGCCGCCGGAAGGGCGGGGGCCGCTGCCGTTACCGCAGTCGTAGGCCGAAGCCGTCGCCGCTGTCGTCGCCGCAGGCCTGTTGCCGCCGCACGCCCGCCGTCGCCGTCGCTGTCGCCGCTGCCGGGACGGCCGCCGTCGCCATCTCCAGGGCCTCCTTGCTGGAGTAGTCGTGACTGATGGGAACGAGGGTGCTAGGTTAGGGGGTGTGGGGGTGTGTGGGTCCTTGCTGCCAAGCCTAGGGGGTGTGTTAAATTATATATGTTAGTATATAATTGTAGGCTTGGTAGTGGTTACTGAACATTACTGTAGAGGGTACAACACCCCTCGTTGTATCCCTCTCTCTTCTTTTCTAGTTCTCTTTTCTCTCACCAACTTTCCTACCCTAAAACCTCACGCTATTTCCATGGCTCCTCCTCCTACCTAGTTCCTAGTTTAGACATTTGCTCTGCTCGAGGGGGCTTGTGCGACGTAGGCAGAGTTGCACTAAGTGAGTTGCGGTGCTGTCTGTTGTGTATTGTACATGGTCGCTGCCCCTAGCGTATGCTGCAACGGGAAGTCGTTGGCATTTTCGCACATGTTTGTGCGACGTTACATGGGTGCGTTGTAAATCCCATAACGGAAACCACCCAACAGATCAGAAACAAGGGACACAAACACAACAACCAAACATGCCCCTATACGTCGGATGTCGTGAACTATGGTGGCTTATTTAGATTGGTGAATGGGTACTGTCAGCGTCAGTTGGTAATGATGCGGATCATTTTCGCACCAATCGGTCAACAAGGGGGGTACGTGCGGGTCTTGAGGATCGCCGAGTAATGGGTTGTGGTCTTTACCTTTTTTTTGTGAATGCTAGAGGTTGCGACGTTTACTTTGTACGCTTATACAATTGGTGGATCATATACGTTGCGTATGTGAGTCCCGGAGGTCCTGGGGGTGACGCGGGTACTGGAGAGGGTTCTAGTTCAGGGGGTGCTCGTCCTGGAGGTGCTGTCGTGGCGGGTCCTGGAGGTCGCCATTTTGCGGTAGGAGGTTGTGGTGTGGGCGTGAAGCAGCAATAGCAGCATCAGCCGCAGTCGCCGCCGGTGTCCGCCCTCTGCCTCCTTGGTGTTCCCTCCCCCGACCGGCAGCCCGCGCCTCCCCCGGTGCCGCCCCTCTGCCTGTCTACGGCCCTGTGTTTCCTGCGCCGGACTCGTCCCCGACTCGTTTTCCCTCTCATTCTCCTCCTGTGTCTCCTCCTTTGTCTCCTCCTGTGTCGCCTAACCTGACGCCTCCGTCCCACTTCTGGTCTCACCGTCTCTTTTGTGCTCATCCTATGTCCCTTGTACAGCGTTCTCACCCTATGTTGCTCCGTTCTCACGCGTCTCGTGCTCCTCTTCTCCCGCCGCCTCCTCAGTTGTCGCTTGTTGTCTCACCGCCTCCTCTCTTTGACTTTCTTCGTGCGGTTAGTCCTCTTGTTCCTTGGGTCCTAGCCTCTCTTGTTACAGACCCGTCCGCTCCTGTCTCGAGTCTTGACACTCTTGTCGCCACCGTTACTGACTTTGTCTCTACCCACCGACTTGACTACGCCACTGCTTTGGTCTCTGACCATGCCCGTCCTCCGTTCGTCGGGGGTGTACCTGCCCTTGGCAGTGACGTCCTAGAAGATAGGCAGTACGAGCTCGCTTTCTTGTCCGAGGCCGCTCCTCATCACTGCTCCATGCTACTAGTCCCTGAGGGTGACCCAGACGCCCTCGACATCACAACCCCTTGCACTTACGCTGAGGCGACCTCGGGACCCTGGGCTTCTCAGAGGATAGCTGTCATGGACGTGGAGATGACATCTTTGAGCTCCATCGGCACCTACGTCGACGCACTTCCCCAACCTTGGTGAACGTAGTCGATGACCGGTGGCTCTTCAAGGTGAAGCGCCCTCCTGGAGAGCCGCCAGTGTTCAAAACGCGCTACGTTGCTAAAGGCTTCAGTCAACGAGAGGGTGTTGACATCTTTCAGACCTTCGCCCCGACCCCGAAGATGACCACTCTTCGTGTGCTACTTTATGTAACAGCACAGCACGACTACGAGCTGAACTCTCTCGACTTCTCCACAGCGTTTCTTCAGCGCAGTCTGCACGAGTAGGTCTACCTACGCCGACCGCCAGGCTTCTCTGGCTCTTTCCCTCTTGGGATCGAGTGGCTCCTCTGGCGCTCGGTTTACAGCTTGCGTCAGGTGCCCCGTAAGTGGCACGAAATGCTACGTTAGCAGACTTGCAGTTATTCCCGTCCTCTGCTGACCCTTCGCTCATCGTTCGCTCGGGTTAGACTCTGTTCTACATCCTAGTCTACGTAGATGACTTGGCCTTCGCTACTGCAGACAAAGACGCACTTGCCTCAGTGAAGGCTGAGTTGCTGAAGAGACACACCTGCACTGACCTAGGAGAGCTGCGATGCTACGTTGGCCTGCAGATCTCCAGGGACAGAGCAGCGCACACCATCACCCTAGCACAGTCACACTTGGTGCGCCAAGTCCTTTAAAGGTTCAGCCTTCAGTTCTCCTCCGCACAGGCTACACCTCTGCCAGTAGACCACAGGCTCTCGACTCCGGCCCCTGACGAGTTGGTTGAGCCTAGTGGTCCGTACGCAGAGCTTGTAGGCTGCCTCATGTACCTGATGACTTGCACTCGTCCAGATCTCGCATACCCTCTTAGTATCCTGACTCGTTTTGTGGCGTTCGGCAGACACCGACCCCAGCACTGATCTTCCGCTAAGAGGGTTTTTCGTTGTCTAGCAAGTATATCAGGGATGGGGCTAGTGCTGGGAGGACGCAGGCCAGTAGTCCTTATAGGGCACACAGACGTCTCATGGGCAGATGACGCTGAGACACTTAGAACCTCCCTGGGCTACTGCTTTGGCCTTGGTGTAGGCGCCGTCTCGTGGAGGTCCACTCGTTCGTCGTCTGTTGCCCACTCCAGCTACGAGGCTGAGATCTACGCTGGTGCCATGGTGGCACAGGAGCTCTGATGGCTGACGTTCTTGCTCACATACTTAGGTGAGCGGCCTAGCTCTGCCCTGGTCCTGTACGCTGACAACAGGGCCATGATCCTCCTGTGTCAGGAGCCTCGACTAGAGGGCAGATCGAAGCATATCCAACTGCGGTAATTTCTCCAGCGCGAGCTACAGCAACGCCGAAAGGCCCGCGTAGTACACATGGCCTCCGGTGCCAACACAGGTGATATCTTTACTAAGGCGCTAGCGCCCAAAGATCATCAGCGGCACTGTGTACAGCTTGGTCTAGTTCCTAAGCTTCTCACTTGCTAGGACCCTGATTGTGTACTACTCTCTATATTGTCTTGACTGGCCTGTTGGCTCTTGCTCCGGTGGTTGGACTAGTAGTTCTGCCCTGGGTTATTTTTGTTTAGCTTGTAAACTTGCTTACTGGTCTTTAGACCCTTGCCTCTGAGGTAGGACTAGTAGTGCCGCCCTGAGCTGCATTTCTCTCGCTCGGCACTGCCCCTTGTCTAGCCTAGGGGGTGTGTAAACTTATACATATTTATATATGTAGCAGTTATAGGCTAGAAGGGTTCGTGCTCTTAGAGATTACGACACCCAGCCATATATTATCTTGTATCCCCTCCTTCTAGTCATTGCGTTATTCTGAGAACTCTTGCAACTTGTTGCCGGCGCCAGCTGTAGAAAGGGACGATGAACATGATGAATAAAACCGCATTACAGGTAAGAAAAACAAACTACTACAGTTGTGTTCAAATTCAGATTTGCACCTTGAGCACATGTGAGCTCCTTCCCAGAGGGGAGTGTGATAAATGTTGAATTAACTGAGATGGGTATCCGAAAATCGAAACGGGCAAGAATTTTGCGGTTTAGGGAAAAGGGTGACCCTTCCTGTCCGCTTCTGTTGCTTACATGCATGTTTAAATTTATTAAGGGTGCTTTTCTTCGTAGACTCATTTCTACCCCATAACTCTACCCTTTTAATTCTGAACTGAGTCACTCAACAAAGCCCATCCAGCGGCAACCAAGTGGCAATCGGGTTGAATTTCTGCTGTGATTCACCATTCCTGTGCAAGTGAATCCACTTTTTCCGTCAGGGAACTTTGTGCGGCCCGAGAGGGAAACCTCATGCGGAACTTTCCTCTCAAGGCCTGGTTA